TTCAAGATGGATTAGAGACTTAAATGTTAGACCTAATACCATAAAAACCCTAGAGGAAAACCTAGGTAGTACCATTCAGGACATAGACGTGGGCAAAGACTTCATGTCTAAAACCCCAAAAGCAATGGCAGCAAAAGCCAAAACTGACAAATGGGATCTCATTAAACTAAAGAGCTTCTGCACAGCAAAAGAAACTACCATCAGAGTGAACAGGAAATCTACACAATGGGAGAAAATGTTTGCAATCTACTCATCTGACAAAGGGCTAATATCCAGAACGTACAAAGAACTCAAACAAATTTACAAGAAAAAAACAAACAACCCCATCAAAAAGTGGGCAAAGGATATGAACAGACATTTCTCAAAAGAAGACATTCATACAGCCAACAGACACATGAAAAAATGCTCATCATCACTGGCCATCAGAGAAATGAAAATCAAAACCACAATGAGATACCATCTCACATCAGTTAGAATGGCGATCATTAAAAAGTCAGGAAACAACAGGTGCTAGAGAGGATGTGGAGAAATAGGAACACTTTTACACTGTTGGTGGGATTGTAAACTAGTTCAACCATTATGGAAAACAGTATGGCGATTCCTCAAGGATCTAGAATTAGATGTACCATATGACCCAGCCATCCTATTACTGGGTATATACCCAAAGGATTATAAATCATGCTGCTATAAAGACACATGCACACGTATGTTTATTGCGGCACTATTCACAATAGCAAAGACTTGGGATCAACCCAAATGTCCATCAGTGACAGACTGGATTAAGAAAATGTGGCACACATACACCATGGAATACTATGCAGCCATAAAAAAGGATGAGTTTGTGTCCTTTGTAGGGACATGGATGCAGCTGGAAACCATCATTCTTAGCAAACTATCACAAGAACAGAAAACCAAACACTGCATGTTCTCACTCATAGGTGGGAACTGAACAATGAGATCACTTGGACTCGGGAAGGGGAACATCACACACCGGGGCCTATCATGGGGAGGGGGGAGGGGGGAGGGATTGCATTGGGAGTTATACCTGATGTAAATGACGAGTTGATGGGTGCTGACGAGTTGATTGGTGCAGCACAGCAAGATGGCACAAGTATACATATGTAACAAACCTGCACGTTATGCACATGTACCCTAGAACTTAAAGTATAATGATAATAATAATAATAATAATTAAAAAAAAAAAAAAAGAAACCCCATCGTCTCAGCCCAAAATCTCCTTAAGCTGATAAGCAACTTCAGCAAAGTCTCAGGATACAAAATCAATGTGCAAAAATCACAAACATTACTATGCACCAATAACAGACAAACAGAGAGCCAAATCATGAGTGAATTCCCATGCACCATTGCTTCAAAGAAAATAAAATACCTAGGAATCCAACTAACAAGGAATGGGAAGGACCTCTTCAAGGAGAACTGCAAACCACCGCTCAATGAAATAAAAGAGGACAAAAACACATGGAAGAAAATTCCATGCTCATGTATAGGAAGAATCAATATTGTGAAAATGGCTACACTTCCCAAGGTAATTTATAGATTCAATGCCATCCCCATTAAGCTATCAATGACTTTCTTTACAGAATTGGAAAAAACTACTTTAAAGTTCATATGGAACAGAAAAGAGCCTGCATTGCCAAGACAATCCTAAGCCAAAAGAATAAAGCTGTAGGAATCACGCTACCTGACTTCAAGCTATACTACAAGGCTGCAGTAACCAAAACAGCATGGTACTGGTACCAAAACAGAGATATAGACTAATGGAACAGAATAGAGCTCCCAAAAATAATACCATACATCTACAACCATCTGATCTTTAACAAACCTGACAAAAACAAGAAATGGGGAAAGGATTTCCTATTTAATAAATGGTTCTGGGAAAACTGGCCAGCCATATGGCAAAAGCTGAAACTGGATCACTTCCTTACATCTTATACAAACATTAATTCAAGATGAATTAAAGACTTAAATGTTAGACCTAAAACCTTAAAAACCCTAGAAGAAAACCTAGGCAATACCATTCAGGACATAGGCATGGGCAAGGACTTCATGACTAAAACACCAAAAGCAATGGCAACAAAAGCCAAAATTGACAAATGGGATCTAAGTAAACTAAAAAGCTTCTGCACAGCAAAAGAAACTACCATCAGAGCGAACAGGCAACCTACAGAATGGGAGAAAATTTTTACAATCTACCCATCTGACAAAGGGCTTTTATCCAGAATACACAAACAACTTAAACAAATTTACAAGAAAAAAATCAAACAACCCCATCAAAAACTGGGCAAAGGATATGAACAGATACTTCTCAAAAGAAGACATTTATAGACATTTATGCAGTCAACAGACACATGAAAAAATGCTCACCATCACTGGTCATCAGAGAAATGAAAATCAAAACCACAATGCCACAAATACTACAAAACCAGAAATACCATCTCACACCAGTTAGAATGGTGATCATTAAAAAGTCAGGAAACAACAGGTGATGGAGAGGATGTGGAGAAATAGGAACACTTTTACACAGTTGGTGGGACTGTAAACTAGTTCAACCATTGTGGAAGACAGTGTGGTAATTCCTCAAGGATGTAGAACTAGAAATACCATTTGACCCAGCCATCCCATTACTGGATATATACCGAAAGGATTATGAATCATGCTGCTATAAAGACATATGCACACGTATGTTTATTGTGGCACTGTTCACAATAGCAAAGACTTGGAACCAACCCAAATGTCCATCAATGATATACTGGATTAAGAAAATGTGGCACCTATACACCATGGAATACTATGCAGCCATAAAAAAGGATGAGTTCATGTCCTTTGTAGGGATATGGATGAAGCTGGAATCCATCATTCTGAGCAAACTATTGCAAGGACAGAAAACCAAACACTGCATGTTCTCACTCATAGGTGGGAACAGAATGGTCAGAACACTTGGACACAATGTGGGGAACATCACACATATGTAACAAACCTGCACATTGTGCACATGTACCATAGAACTTAAAGTATAATTAAAAAAAAAAAAAAAACTGAGAAAAAGATGTAAGGAAGGCATCCAGTTTCTGTCTTCTGCATATGGCTAGCCAGTTTTTCCAACACCATTTATTAAATAGGGAATCTTTTCCCCATTGCTTGTTTTTGTCAGGTTTGTTGAAAATCAGATGGTTGTAGATATGTGACTTTATTTCTGAGGCCTCTGTTATGTTCCATTGGTCTATATATCTGTTTTGGTATCAGTACCATGCTGTTTTGGTTACTGTAGCCTTGTAGTATAGTTTGAAGTCAGGTAGTGTGATGCCTCCAGCTTTGTTCCTTTTGCTTAGGATTGTCTTAGCTTTACAAGATCTTTTTTGGTTCCGCATGAAATTTAAAGTAGTTTTTTCTAGTTCTGTGAAGAAAATCAATGGCAGCTTGATGGGAATAGCATTAAATCTATAAACTACTTTTGGCAGTATGGCCATTTTCACGATATTTATTCTTACTATTCATGAGCATGGAATGTTTTTCCATTTGATTGTATCATCTCTTAATTCCCTGAGCAGTGGTTTGTAGTTCTCCTTGAAGAGGTCTCTTTCACATCCCTTTTAAGTTGTATTTCAGGGCATTTTATTCTCTTTGTAGCAATGGTGAATGGGAGTTCACTAATGATTTGGCTCTCTGCTTATCTATTATTGGTGTATAGGAATGCTTGTGATTTTTGCACATAGAATTTGCTTCCTGAGACTTCGCTAAAGTTGCTTATCAGCTTAAACAGTTTTGGAGCTGAGACAATGGGGTTTTCTAAATATATAATCATGTCATCTGTAAACAGAGACAATTTGACTTCCTCTCATCCTATTTCAATACCGTTTATTTCTTTCTCTTACCTGATTGCCCTGGCCAGAACTTCCAATACTATGTTGAATAGGAGTGGTGAAAGAGGGCATCTTTGTCTTGCTCTGGTTTTCAAAGGAAATTCTTCCAGATTTTGCCCATTCGATATGATATTGGCTATGAGTTTGTTATGCATAGCTCTTGTTATTTTGAAATATTAAACTTTATATTTAAACAGCTTCCAAATTCACACCCATAAGCCCTAAATAGTGACTTTAATCAAAAGTACTCTGAATGAATAGCAAGGCATTGAACAGCTGGAAGTCTGTTGAGTGTGTGTGTATCATTCACAGATAAATCTGATTTTCAGTCTTTCATTTCATATGGAAAACAGAATTTAAAAACAAGGTAATTTGGTATCCAAGCTGATAAACCGATTCATTGTAAAGCTTCATACGTGAGCAGAGTTAGCAGTGGAAAATAATAATTACCATAAGTTTCGAAGCCAAAATTTCATAAATATGGTTGGGAAAAGATAACCAAAACTGAAATGGAGCCAAATTGTACTTAAGGAATACAGATTACAGGGTTATTACTAATAATTAAAATGTAGGTAAATAAATCATTTTATAAATTGACATTTGTGTATTTCACAGAATTATGCTACAGCATATGTTTACTCAAAATACATAAATCAATAGAGTAACAAGAAGTAACACTATTTTTTAAATAATGCTCTGTTTACAGAGAAATAAAAATTGATGAGAACTGCAATAAGATATGCCTAAGCAATACAAACTGTAGAATGTCATTACTGGCCAGAACGGCAAGCATGGGCCTAAAAGAAACCCCAGACAAGTCAGTGAGGCTGACCATAGAAACATAGTCCAATTATAAACACAATAAAAGCACATGCCATTTGGTTCATGCTCCCTAGGGGTGTGATAGGGTCATTCCCACTATGTCTACTTGCCAAGTATTCTCTGGTGACATGATCTGGAATAGGTAATGGGAAAAACACTGCTCTTTAACTCTTTCAAAAAATGAACTCAAAACCTATATTGACGATTTCTTATTTGAAAACAAAGAAGCAAAGTTCAGGAGAACATAGGATTAAATGAACCTTTTATACCCACACTGTATGCACAATCATACCTGTACACACACAGCACAAATATGTGCAAATTCCCTTGGCTCTCAGCCTCAAACCCCGCTTCACATGAGCTAACAACCAGGACTCATAATAAAAGATCTGGCCACCCCTGAAATGTTTCCAAGAATGTCAGTAGAGGGGACAGCAGTCCAGTAAGGTCAGTGATACAGAGCAGGTTCACCCACCCTTGGTTTTTCTCAACTCCTCCACAAGGCAGCGGGCTTCCTCTTGAACACGATCCTCAATGCTCCTCTTCCCCATGCCAAAATTCCGCAGCGTCATGAGGGAGAAACGCCGGATCTCCTTCCATCGCTTTCCATTGCTGAAAATAATCCCTAACAGGAAGACAAACAGAAACTAGGAGGGAGATCCCAGGCAAGAAAGAGGAAGCAGCCACGTGGATGGGCCAAGCTCTGCATGAAAAGCTCTGCTAGTCTGTTTTCCATCCTCCCCATCCCCATGACTTATGCTGAAATAGGCACATGCACACCTACCAAATCCTCTGTTAGCTCTGTCAGCCAATGGAAAATGTCCTCTTCCGGAAAACTCCTCTCCAAGATCAATCAGGGCTTCCTTCACCGCTTCGTATCCATGCAGCACCACCATGCGTTCCAGGCCAAAATACAGAGTGAACACAGGGCCATAGACTTTTGAGAGCTAGAAAAGGAGATACAGGTAACAGCAAATAAAGTCACTATTTCATCCATTTACTACGCCTGACTTAGATTCATATTTTCATTGTATTTGTATGCTTTTATTCAGTCATACAGGCTCAAATATTTCTGAATTATATATATAAACATGATGATTATTATTATACTTGCCACTCAGATGGCCTATGATGTGCAAGGCAATGATCAGACAATTGCTACATAGATTACAATTAATCCTCACATCAACATATTCAGCAGGTCTATTTGTTCTACTTTAAACAAACTGAGCTAAGAGAATGACAAATTCATTTGCAGTGTCCCACAGCTAACATACAGAAGACCCAAATTTGAAACTCCACTTACTCAAACACTCATGCTTGAGAAATTTATCAGCAGCACTCTTGTGTCTACCTTAACACAAATATCCAGCTTCAATAACTAATAATTTCCTGGTCTAATAGCCTTTTATGATTAGCATGCATCTAGCATTTACAGTAAAATCACCTCTCTATGGACTCCACCTAGGACTCCCAAAAGCCCACGTAGAGGTCCCCATTGCTGGATCAATAGTCCCCACAGCAGTACTCCTAAAATTAGGTGGCTATGGGATTATACGAATCACCTTAATCCTTAACCCCCTAACAGAGTTTATAGCTTATTCCTCCCTCATACTATCCCTATGAGGAATAATCATAACAAGCTCCATTTGTCTGTGCCAAACTGATCTAAAATCACTCATTACTTACTCTTCCATAAGCCACATGGCACTTGTTATCATGGCTATACTCATTCAAACCACCTGAAGTTTTACAGGCACAACTGCCCTAATAATTGCCCAAGGACTAACCTCATCTGTACTATTCTGCCTTGTGAACTCAAACTACAAAGTACACAGTCAAACCATACTAATAACATGGGGCCTTCAAACACTTCTGCCCCTGATAGCCACAAGATGACTCCTAACTAGCCTTGCCAACCTTGCCCTGCCCCCTACCATCACTCTAGTAGTAGTTTTCATAACTATACCTCATTCTCTTGGACTAATCATACCAGCATGCTTATAAGGTTTACTATACTATACTAATCGCAGCCCTTTACTTTCTGTATGTGCTAATTATTACACAATGAGGGGTATTCACATATCATATTAACACTGTTAAACCATCTTTCACTTGAGAAGAAAACCCTAATACTTATACATCTTCTACCCCTCTTCCTACTATTACTAAACTCTAAGGTCATGTTGGGGTTTATATATTGTAGCTATAGTTTAATTAAAACATTAATTTGTTGATCCAATAATGGAAGTCTATAACTTCCTATGTACTACTTATCTGCTTTTGCTGTTCCTGAACCCACAGCTATTTCCTTTACAACAGGCATAAATTATTTCTTCAGAAAAGTTCAGTTTTCACAGCTGTTCTGAATAAAACACACGGCTAATATAGTAGAGGACCTACATAATAAAATCTCTAATAACAAACACATTCCTTACCATTTACCTTCAGCCAAAAATTATAGCAAATGACCATGAAATAAAGAAGGAACACAACATTTCAAACTATTGACACTTTGTTATTTTGAATCGAACATGCAAAGACCTAAATCTTTCTCTACTCACAAAATACATGATTGCATTCCACTATTTCTAACCCTGACAGACTCAGTTACACTGAGGTTTCACCTCTGCAGTGATGGAGAAAACGCAACAAAAGCCTTTCAAAGTATTTTACTTTACAATGATCTCTTGTAGCAATGTACCTCTAGGGATATATTTTATTCAAAAACTACAGGTGAATTTACTTACCTTTTGCAAGCCACTGAAGGAGCATACTTACATTGGTTAAGGATTTGCTGACGTCCTTAATATCTATCTGTAGGATATTTCCAATCACTGGGAGAGGAGTGGGGCCAGGAGGGAGTTTTCCTCTCCCAGATCTCTGTCTCCAGAGTGAAAGGAGAAGCAAACAGGAGAGACAGAGCACAAGGACCACAAGAGAATCCATTGAAGCCTTCTCTTCTTGTTAAGACAACGGTGAGCTTGCGCTCCAAGCCTTTTATAACACTCCATGCTAATTCAGTGTGTGCCTTTTTGACGTATAAAGTTACCAATCACCTAGGTCCACTATATGCTCCTTCTGAAAGGACTTTGAGCCACTGATAAAGATAAAAATAAAATGTCCTTTGGTCTTGTTCTCCTTCATTCCAGTGCCCACTTTGGAGCCTAGGTATTGGTAATTAAAAAAAAAAAGGTTAACCCAAGTGGTTCCAATGCACTATCATAATTGAGAGCACTGAAGTAAATAATCTGATGCAAAAACAATTACTCAAAATTCTGAATCCTTAGATTAATAACCAGTTGGGAATTTATGATTTTGAGGGAAATTGATGTATTCTATGCCTTGTATATTTTGAAAGTATGTCAATGCTATATCAAAGATTAGGAGACTTTTTCCTTTATAATGAAATCGTCTATTTAATATAGCCTACTAAAAATACAGCAGCCTAAACATGAAATAGCTAATATAACTCATATATCTTAAATAACCAAACATATATCAAGTAAATTAGCTTAGCAGATATGAATACCCTTACCATTAAACCCCCTGAAAATACACATGAAAGCAGGAATTGTTATTTTTTATTTTTCAAATAGGAAAAGGGAGACCCTGGGAGAACAGGACACCTGTTAGTGCCACACAGCTCATAGCTGGCAGAACTGGGATTTGAGCTGAGGTCTTCTGATGCCCATCATGGTGCATTATCTCTTACTTCTAGAGATGCCTTCAGAACAGAAGACCCAAATTCGAAAAAAAAAAAATTGTTTGCTAAAACATAACAAACTTCCAAACATTAGTCATTCTGAATATATACCACATTGATTCTGTTCATAAAACAGGATTCACATTAAACAGAACCCCTTATTTATCTAAGCAAAACAGCCCCAGCTCATGAGAAAAAATAAGAGTTTTCCCTTCTCCATCACTGCGGAGGTGAAACGCTCAGTGTAACTGAGGGAACCACTGATCTCAGAGAATTTGGTGCTAAGGGCTTGAGAAACTAAGGCTTCTTGACCTCCCAGTCACCTCCAGACACGGCTGCTTTCTATTGTTTTTGGTCTCTCATTTTCAAAAATAATGTAATAAAGCAAAGCAAGCATAGGAAATTATGGACAGAACAGCTGTGAATCTAATAGAGGGTGGGAGGTAGGGAAATCACTAAATGGACTCATAGCACAAAACCACCTCAATGTGTAGACCTTAATGGGAACTGACATTTTGAGTTGAGGGCCTAAATACAACTAGAAAGATACACTTTACTAGATCACGGATGACAATACTTATGCAAAGCCATTTTCTTTGAAGATATCATCATATTTATTCTAAATTCCCTAGTGAGGTTATTTCCGGTTCTCTTATTAAGAAAAATTAAGTTATGTTAAGACACAATTGCACAATGTTTTACTGGTCATTTTTAACAGGGATTCTAAAAATTTACAGAGAATTCTCACACCTCATGTCCCTTGAGAATCTCTCAATTGCCTTTGGTTACAATAAAATTGACCCATTTCAGGAATGAGGAGGCTGAGCCTTGAAGATTCAGTACTGTAGCCAAGAACATGGTGTCTGCTGCTGCTAGAGCTGAGACTAGAACCCATAAGCCCTGCATCTTGAAGGTTTCATTCCAAGCAAAACATTCAGTTCAATTGAGTCCACAGATATTTACTGATTGTGTACTAAGGTTCAGTATTTTATGATTCAGTCTAGTAAATGATTCTCAAAATAAACATTAATTTCATTAATAATTACAGCCCAAATTGACTAGATTGGGGGTCAGAAGAGTTTGGTTTTATAACCTTTAGTACTTGGATAAGTCAAAGGCCTTGGAGAACCCTTTATACAGAGCAAAGAAAAGCAAAAACTTGGTCCCTGACTCATGTAACTCTGAACTCTAACAGAAATATGCTACCTTATTTTGGGTAAAATAAGCTTAGTTGCTCTCTTTAGAATAATCATTTCATTCCTTGAGAGCTAGGTGTCCCAGTTCTGCTCCTCCTCTCTTCTGTTGAGCTGAGGCTTCTCCTTAGACCTTTCAGTGTACAGAATGAAAGAATTATAGATAATTTGAAGACATAAGGGATCTCTGAGATCAACTATTCTAAACAGGATTTGCTTTGTTTTTTAGAAATGAGCAATTATTGACTCAATGAGACAGTATCACAATGCCTCAGTATAAGACTTAGAATCCCAGTTTTTCAATTCCTGGTTCAGTGACATGTCATATCCCATCTCATAGAATTCACATCTCAGTCCAAATGATCAGGGGAGTATCAACATTAAGCCCTCCACAGTTACTGAGTAATACAAACCTCAGCTTGACTAGAATGGTGGGTTAGAGTAGGTTTTAGAAAAATGTGTTTCTTAACAGCAGTTTGGGGTTTCCAGCAACACTAAGTGGAAAGTGTATAATTACCACATGCGTCTTTCCCTGCACCCATACACAGCCTCTCTCACAATTAAGAACTCTCATAGGTTACAATCAATGAACCAACATTGATACATCATCATCATCTAAAGCTCATAGGTTATGTGGGGTTCATTTTTGTGTTGTACATTCTATGGGATTTGACTAAAGCATAATGACATGTATCTACTATTGTAGTACCATATAAAACAGCTTTACTGACCTTAAAACGCTCTGTGCTCTACCTCTTCACCCTGTCTTCCTTGTGAGTCCTAGCAACAAATAATCTTTGCTGTGTCGGCATAGTTTTGCCTTTTCCAGAATGTCATGTGTTTGGAATCATACAGTATGTAGCCTTTTAAGCTTTAACTTACTAATATGTATAAAGTTTCTCCTTGTCTTTTCAAGTCTTGATAGTTCATTTCTTTTTAACACTAAATAACATTCATTGTACAGGTTTACCACGTTGTTTATTCATTTATCTATTGAAGAACATCTTGGTGATTTCTAATTTTTGACAATGAAGAATAAAACTGCTATAAACATCCATGTGCAGATTTTTGTGTGGAGATATATTTTTAATTCATTTGGCAAATGCCAAGGAGCACAACTACTAGATAACATAGTAAACATATTTTAGTTTTATTAGACACTGCCCAGCTGTCTCCTGAAGTGTCTGTACCATTTTGCATTTCCACCAGCAATGACTAATAGTTCTCATTGCTGCACATCCTTGTCAGCATTTGGTTCTTTCAGTGTTTTGAATTTTAGCCATTGTATAAGTGTGTGATAGTATCTCATTGGGGTTTTAGTTTGCAGGTCCCTAATGACATTTAATGATGAGAACTTTTCATATATTTATTTGCCACCTGTATGTCTTCTTGGGTGAGGTATCTGTTCAGATCAGTTGCCCATTTTTTTAAACAAGGTGTCTGATTTCTAATCATTGAGTTTTAAAAAAATTTATATAGCTGTCATTTATCAGATATATTTTTTGAAAATATTTGTCCCAATCTGTGTCTTGTCATCTGATCCCCTTGATAGTGTCTTTTGTGGAGTAGAAATTTTAAATTTTAATAAAGGCTAGCTTAGTTATTCTTTATTTCATGGATTGTACCTTCATTGTAGTATTTTAAAAACGATTGCCAGATCAAGATCATCTTTATTTTCTCCTACCTTATGTTATCAGAGTTTCATAGTTTTGCATTTTATATTTAGAAGTTAACTTTCATTAAAGATGTAAGGTTTATTTCCAAATTCATTTTTCTGTGTGTGACTCTCCAGTTACTCCATTAGTCTTTGTGGAAAAGACTATTTTTTCCCATTGAATTGCCTTTGCTTTTTTTTCAAAGATCACTTGACTGTATTTCTGATTATCTATTTCAGGCTCTTTACTCATTTGCATTAATCTATTTGACTATTTTTTCACCAATGGCACACTCTATTGATTACTGTAGCTTCAAAATAAGTCTTGAAGTTGAATTGGGTAAGGTTAATCATTTGACTTTGTTCTCCTTAACATTGGCTGTTCTGGGTTTTATGGCCTCTCCATATAAACTTTACAATCAGACTGTTGATATCTAAAGATAAAAAATAATAAAAATAGAGGCTCCCCTAATTCCAGAATGGCTGAATAGGAGCTCCGATCTGCAGTTCCCAGGGTGATCGATGCAGAACATGGGTGATTTCTGCTTTCCAACTGAGGTACTTAGTTCATTTCATTGGGACTGGTTGGACAGTGGGTGCAGCCCATGTAGGGCAAGCCAAAACAGGGTGGGGCATCACCTCACCTAGGAAGAACAAGGGGTTGGGGGATTTCCCTTTTCTAACCAAGGGAAGCCATGAGAGACTGTACCGGGAAAATTGGGGCAATGCTGCCCAAATACTGCACTTCTCCAATGGTCTTGGCAAAAGGCACATCAGGAGATTATATCCTGTGCCTCATTCCACAGGTCCCATGCCCATGGAGCCTTGCTCACTGCTAGCACAGCAGTCCGAGATGAAACTGCAAGGTGGAAGCCTGGCTGGGGGAAGGGCATCCACCATTGCTGAGGCTTGAGTAAGTAAACAAAGCAGCCAGGAAGTTTGAACTGGGTAGAGCCCACCACAGCTCAGCGAGGCCTGCCTGCCTCTGTAGACTCCACCTCTGGGGGCAGGGCATTGCTAAACAAATGGCAGCAGAATTTTCTGCAGACTTAAATGTCCCTGTCTGACAGTTTGAAGACAGCAGTGATTTTCCCAGCACAGTGTTTGAGCTCTGAAAACAGACAGACTGCCTCTTCAAGTGGGTCCCTGAATCCCATATAGCCTAACTGGCAGACACCGCCCAGTAGGGGCAGATTGACACCACATACAGCCAGGCGCCCCTCTGAGACAAAGCTTCCAGAGGAAGGATCAGGCAGCAATATTTGCTGTTCTGCAAAATTTGCTGTTCTGCAGCCTCCACTGGTGATAACCAGGCAAACGGGTTCTGGAGTGGACCTCCAGCAAACTCCAACAGACCTGCAGCTGAGGGACCTGACTGTTAGAAGGAAAACTAACAAACATAAAGAAATAGCATCAATATCTACAAAAAGGACATACACATCAAAACCCCACCTGTAGTTCACCATTGTCAAAGACCAAAGGTAGATAAAACCACAAAGATGGGAAGAAACCAGAGCAGAAAAGTTGAATTTTCTAAAAACCAGACCACCTCTTCTCCAAAGGATCATAGCTCCTCACCAGCAATGGAACAAAGCTGGATGGAGAATGACTTTAACGAGTTGACAGAAGTACACTTCAGAAGGTTGGTAATGACAAACTTCTTTGAGCTAAAGGAGGATGTTTGAACCCATGGTAAGGAAGCTAAAAACCTTGAAAAAAGAATAGAAAAATGGATAACTAGAATAAACACTGTTGAGAAGACCTTAAATGACCTGATGGAGCTGAAAACCATGGCACAAGAACTACATGATGCATGCACAAGCTTCAGAAGCTGATTCAATCAAGTGGAAGAAAGCGTATCAGTGATTGAAGATCAAATTAACGAAATGAAGCAAGAAGAGAAGATTAGAGAAAAAAGAGTAAAAAGAAATAAACAAAGCCTCCAGGAAATATGGGACTATCTGAAAAGACCAAATCTATGTTTCGTTGGTGTACCTGAAAGTGACAGGGAGAAAGGAACCAAACTGGAAAACACTCTTCAGGATATTATCCAGGAGAACTTCCCAACCTAGCAAGGCAGGCCAACATTCAAATTCAGGAAATACAGAGAACACCACAAAAATACTCCTCGAGAAGACCAACTCCAAGACAAATAATTGTCAGATTCACCAAGGTTGAAATGAAGGAAAAAATGTTAAGGGCAGTCAGAGAGAAAGGATGGGTTACGCACAAAGGGAAGCCCATCAGACTAACAGCAGATCTCTCAGCAGAAACTACAGAAGCCAGAAGAGAGTGGGGGCCAATATTCAACATTCTTAAAGAAAAGAATTTTCAACCCAGAATTTCATATCCAGCCAAACTAAGCTTCATAAGTGAAGGAGAAATAAAATCCTTCACAGACAAGCAAATGTTGAGAGATTTTCTCACCACCAGGCCTGCCTTACAAGAGATCCTGAAGAAAGCACTAAACATGGAAAGGAACAACCTGTACCAGCCACTGCAAAAACATGCCAAATTGTAAAGACCATCAATGCAAGGAAGAAACTGCATCAACTAATGGGCAAAATAACCCGCTAACATCGTAATGGCAGGATCAAATTCACACATAACAATATTAACCTTAAATGTAAATAGTCTAAATGCTCCAGTTAAAAGACACAGACTGGCACTTTGGATAAAGAGTCAAGACCCATCAGTGTGCTGTATTCAGGAGCCTCATCTCACATGAAAAGATACACATAGGCTCAAAATAAAGGGATGGAGGAAGATCTACAAAGGAAATGGAAAGCAAAAAAAAGCAGAGGTTGCAATCCTAGTCTCGGATAAAACAGACTTTAAACCAACAAAGATCAAAAGAGACAAAGAAGGCCATTACATAATGGTAAAGGGATCAATTCAACAGGAAGAGCTAACTATCCTAAATATATATGCACCCAATACAGGAGCACCTAGATTCATAAAGCAAGTCCTTAGAGACCTACAAAGAGACTTAGACTCCCACTCAATAATGGGAGATTTTAACACCCCACTGTCAATGTTAGACAGATCAATGAGACAGAAGGTTAACAAGGATATCCAGGATTTGAACTCAGCTCTGCACCAAGTGGACCTAATAGTCATCTACAGAACTCTCCACCCCAAATAAACAGAACATACATTCTTCTCAGCACTACATCACACTTATTCCAAAACTGACCACATAGTTGGAAGTAAAGCATTCCTCAGCAAATGTAAAAGAACAGAAATCACCACAAACTGTCTCTCAGACCACAGTGCAATCAAACTAGAACTCAGGATTAAACTTACTCAAAACTGCACAACTACATGGAAACTGAACAAACTGCTCCTGAATCACTACTGCTTAAATAACAAAATGAAGGCAGAAATGAAGATGTTCTTTGAAACCAAGGAGAACAAAGACACAACATAGCAGAATCTCTGAGACACATTTAAAGAAGTATGTGGAGGAAAATTTATAGCACTAAATGCCCACAAGAGAAACCAGGAAAGATCTAAAATTGATACTCTAACATCACAATTAAAACAACTAGAGAAGCAAGAACAAACACATTCAAAAACTAGCAGAAGGCAAGAAATAACTAAGATCAGAACAGAACTGAAAGAGATAGACATACACACACACACACACACACACACACACACACATTCAAAAAATCAATGAATCCAGGAGCTGGTTTTTTGAAAAGATCAACAAAATTGATAGACTACTGGCAAGACTAATAAATAAGAAAAAAAAGAATAAAATAGATGCAATAAAAAATGATAAAGGGGATATCACCACCGATCCCACACAAATACAAACTACCATCACAGAATACTATAGAGGTACACAGAGGAGCTGGTACCATTCCTTCTGAAACTATTCCAATCAACAGAAAAAGAGAGAATCTTCCCTAACTCATTTTATGAGGTCAGCATCATCCTGACACCAAAGGCTGGCAGAGACACAACAAAAAAAGAGAATTTTAGGCCAATATCCCTAATGAACATCGATGCAAAAATCCTCAATAAAATACTGGCAAACTGAATTGAGCAGCATATCAAAACGCTTATCCACCAAGATCAAGTTGGCTTCATCCTTGTGATGGAAGGTTGGTTCAACATAAGCAAATCAGTAAACGTAATCCATCCCATAAACAGAACCAAAGACAAAAACCACATGATTATCTCAATAAATGCAGAAAAGACCTTCAACAAAATTCAACAGCCTTTCATGTTCTTTTTATTGTTGTTGTTTGTTGCTGTTTTTCTCCCTTCCTCTCCTGATTTTCTCTTCATAAAATGTGGGACTTTACCACCTGCTAAAAATGAGTTTTCCTAATAATATGGGACCTATCCATCTAGGAATAAATTGTTGTAACCATGAGAGATCAGACAAAACCTGAAACCAGAGACTCGTTTTCTTGAGAAATGCTTTTTCCAAAAGATTGAAAAAAAAAATACTGGAAAATGTGAAAGGAAAATAAATCTCAGGGTCCCAAAATCACTAAGCCAAAGGGAAAAGTCAAGCTGGGAACTGTGTTGGACAAACCCACCTCTCATTCTATTCCTAAATAAGATAGCTACAAAGAGTTTAAAAAGCTACCAACCTCCCTCACAGTTTGCCCACAAGAAAATTACTTGTGGACAAGGGACAGACAGAACTCAAAGTCATCTCTGTTTATGTGAGACAAATATCTGATTGCTTCCTCTGCCTTATTGTTTTACTAAGCCAGACTAAGGAATAAGTGACTATTGCTGTAAATTGTGTATTCAGCGAAAGGCTAATC